TGGGGTCTTCATGGATGCGCGAACTTCACGGATTAATTGTCCAACTTCGCTTACCTCGTCCAGACATGGTGGACGACGTCCAATATCCGGATTGATGCGCACGTAGCGCGAAGCACGGCTACTCGTTGCGCACATGTCAGAGCGAAACTTATCCCACGCTTTCTCTGCGTCGAGAATATTGTCCATGAGGTTTCGCTGCCGATTTATTCAGCACAGTTCTCAGAAGTATTCGCGTCGCAATTGAAGCAAATCTTGGAAGGACGTACCATTGTAGAAACGATCTGAGGCATCGTGTAAAAAGTAGGTTGTCGGGCACTGTCTTCGTCAGTACGTTCCCCTTAACTGCTTGTTGAGGCACATCTTGAGAACCCGAAAGACTAAGACATGTAACGTTGAATATGCTTACTTTAACTCAGAAGCCATTGCTGTCGCGTCGGGCTGGCCGGCTTGCACGTCCGCCTTATTTTGACTTGTGCCTATGGAAAGGAAGAGATCGGGGTCTTGACCAGCTACATCGGGCCAGAGCAGCTTTCTCTCATGGTTCATGAGCCGGACGGGATTGTTGTGGTAAAGCGCGCCGTCTAAGTATGTGCGATAGGTATGAGCGTGCTCGAACGGCTTGAAAAAGCTGGGTGCAGCCGACGTGGCAGCTGCCGCGTCTGCGATGGAGAAGCCGAACTTTGGCCGATCTGGTCGCAGAAACTCATACTCTGCGGGGCGCAGTCTTTTCTTGTCGCCCTCCGGCCGGCTGTAGTTCGCAATAACGATCGCTTTAGACCCTGTTTTGTCCGTCGCGGTCACGGCGACCTTTGTGTTAAGATACGAGCTCCGTTCTCCATAGTTGCCGAAAAGATGTTCTTGCCCAAACTCTCGCGTCAAAGTCTCTCTGAGAGGGCCAGTCGAATACTTGGAAGCAAGCCTCAGCGTTATCAGGTGTCTCAAGAAAGGGATGTTGTGCAACATCCGCGGTGTGAAAGCGGTACTGCACAGCTTTCTGAACTTATCAGAGCAGCGCCTAAGGCTCCAAGCTTTAGCAACCATTGCTAGCGCAATGATGCCACCAGTACTACGAAGTGTGAGCCTTGTGGTATTTACGACTACTTGGAATCTTACCTCGTTCCCATAATCAAATCGAAAAATGCCTGGATAGGAATTTTGTCACCAATTTGGTTTTGGAGGGCTCTTAACACTTCGAGTTCAACGATTCCACGGATGCCACCACTTTCTATATGTCAGCGTCTCGAATAAAGTCGAGCAATTGAAAGAGGAAATGGGGGTAGAGATCGATGGATACGGGTATACGAGGCCATTGCTTGCTTCACCCAGGGTTGAAGGGCGATGAAGAGCTCTCAATAGAAGCTAGAATTGACTCACCCATCAAGACATAGGAGGCGAACTCCCGCGTGTTCAGGCTTAAACCTAATGAGGCATGGCACTTCCCAATCCGTTTTCTTCGGGTGTAAAGGGCAGCAGTCTAGTCTGATAACGGAGCTCGTGCTACTATTGTCGTGCAGAGGCTGTCCATGGGCTCGCACACACTGCGTGCAGAGTACATGACCGCAACGAAGAGCGTGCTCAGGTGACTGCATAAGACAGCAGAAGCATGTGGCGTAACTCAAAATCCCACCAGCTGAACCCAAAGAAGCATCATAACAGCTCACCATGTCGTCGCGATGGATCTGCATCATGTAAGCTTCCTTGGAATAGCTTGGGGATCGTTGCGAGGCATTCTCTAGTTCGCAATCGATGTTGCGCATCTGCAACTGAATTTCCTTCTTCCAAGATGGTAGATAGCCTTCTGGGTTGATCCTGGACACAAATTCGCCTGGTTTTATTCTGCCTCTAGCGTCTTGGTGCCCTTTCGGGTTGTGATTGGCAGCGACGTTTACGCATTGATACGAACCGTTGCGGAATTCACAGGTGAGATGTTGACTCCAAAACGTCTCTACTGAGAACTGGCAGTAGTCCGTGTAATGAGCGAAGTGATCTAGAGGAGAGCCTGTCGTGCGTCAGAAGTAGCAAAGACGAATATTTGGGGAATAGGAGAAACGATTGGCGGAAAGAAGTCCAGTAGCACCCGCCGGAGAAGGCAGTAACCAGAGACTAGGCTCAGAGCTACAATAATACTACACTGGCCATAGTTGCTGCGTCGGCATTCTCGTGTAGGCCAGGCGCTCGAAATGAGCATCTTGTATGTCGACCCTCAAAGCAAAACTATGCAAAAGAACTGTCACGTACCTTTTCGATGACGGACACAATCTAGAGAAATACTAGAAGCCACAAGTCTAGCCATGCGATCGAATATGAGCGTAGCTTTGCGCGTCGTCTCAAAAGCGGGTGTATCAAGCGCGATTTGCTTGTCGTGGGCCTCTATGGCCAGGGCGAGCTGAAGCATATGGCCACCAAAATCATTGGGTATCGGATTATTGCGCAGAGACATGGTAACAAAATCGAAAGGCATAGTGAGTGTCCGTGAGAAATGACTGAACACTGACTGGAAATGCGTATCCAGCTCAAAAGATTTGAAGAGCATGTTCGCTCGTTTCCGAGTATTGAAGGACATTTCGCACGATTTCGTGATTACTTGGTGAAGTCGATCGATCTGATCGTACAATAGCCGATATCGACCTCCGCGTGGTATGCGTATGACTTGAAATGTGGAGTAGTAGCATTGTATGAGTTCCAGAATGGTTCTGACGCGTCGTCCTCTTTCTTTCCAGGTTTTGACGAGGCTGATGAAGAAGGGATGTCCATGTCTCGGATGTAGGCAGTGTTAGTTGGCCGCTAACAAGCTGTCTGTTGCCGATTCGTTGTCCCATTCATATGGATTGGCGCTCGGCCCGCATTGGTTCAGTGCAATAACGGCGTGTGGAAGTGTTGGTTGATTAACCGACGTCTCCAATGATGCTTCTGCCCATTGAAGTAAAGGTTGTAGAGTCGTGACTTCGAATGTTCTAAGTAATTATAAGCAAAAAGAGCCCAATAGGAGACCTTACACATACTTGGAGTTCGTGCCATGCATAACAAAGACCACAACATCTGAAAGAGTGTAGAGAATGCGTGGGTAAAGCTCTTTCACGATATATCTTCTTCTTGCCCTCTCAGTATCTGCAGTAGCCCATGCCAATGATCGCATACGACCTTCACCCAGTTGCGCATGGATGCGTTCGGGATTCGACCGCGACCTACGATTCTCATGGGCACCGATCGGTGGATTCTCTCCGCCTTCTAAGCCCTCACAGTCTGCGTACAGTAGAGGTGTTCGAGAATCGGTGCTCATTGGGTCTGCGTACAGATGTACGTCGGCCGATGTTGGAGTGTGCTCCACTGGATCGTTACCGAGCCTCTCATGTCCAGACTGTGGCTCTAGACGCTTCAAGCCAACAACAGGAGAAGGATAGCGTTCCTTCAGACCATCGGTCCCTTGCAACTGAATGAGCATCTTTATCAATGTACTTTTCCCAGCATCTGGTGCGCGGTTAGTCTCGAAGAGTTAACGGTACAATTGATGGGTTCGTTACTAGTTTGGCCGATGAAAGATACCAGTTGCGGGTATTTTTCTTTTCCGTTTTTGAGCGGGTTACACAACAAGGCTGAATACACATCATAGTCGAAAAATTGTTGACGGTCTGACTGGTCGCCTCTTCTATGGAGGCTGTCGTACCGTTCTGGATCGTCGTCTCTTTTTATTCCTAGAAAGAGGTCAGTAGTTATAAGAGCTCTTGTCAAGGAACAAATCGTACCAAACCAGGTAGTGGCCAGGTCATCCTCGTGAAGTTCTTCCATAGTGTCTTCGTCGTATTGTGGATCCAGTATGCTCTTGAGTTTCGCATACACACGATACTCTACCTTCTCATGCGATCCATCTCTTCCTTTTTTCCCGCCACGATGCGCCAGAAAGTGTTGCCAACACGGGTCGCAGAACTCACAGGCACAGTCCACACAGTACCAGACCTGGGCACGATTGCGGGTACAACCTATACCGCGGCTCTCGCAGTCGTTCATTGGCCGTTGCATGGTCTTGGAAGGTCTTTAGGCGGTCGTGAAAGAGATGAGGTCGTTAGGAAGTTGCGGGGAAGTCATTGCGGCAAAGATTACCTAGGCCAATGTTCAGCCTCATGCGGGCGCCGAGCTGAGCTGCATATCCATCCAATCGAGGCTATCGCGGTAAGTGCACCTATGAAGCTTGCTGCTGCTAGTGTAATCGAAACCAGGCGAATCGAAGTGCATGCCGCCAGCCACACAGTCGTTCATTGCCGGCAACTCCGCCACTTGTATTGACCGGTCGCCAGAGTGAAGCGACACGATGGCGAGCAGGCAAACCGTGTCGCGTGCGTCACTGCATCATCGCGATACGACGAGTACTGGTCGCCAGCCTGATATCCCATTGCAAGGTTGTAGAGTTGTTCGAAACGAGTAGCATGTAAGCATCGTGGTGGATGCTGGACGGCGGTGGCACATCTAAGGCAACCGCGCACAGACCATGTCTGCCCGCCTGCCCAACCTGATCGATGCAAAGCGTCACTGTGTCTACTCTTTCGTCTTCCGGCTGGATACCTAGGTACCCAGATGCAACCTCGTATTAGCAAAAGCTCGCGAAATGAGCGAAGACTACAGCATGGCTGGCGAACCGATAACTCCGTTGCAGGCGCGCTCTTTGTTGCGCGTTGTAACCTTTGAAGTAAAGAGTCGCGCAGACAAGACAGCCTTGCAAACAAGCCCGGCTTCTAACACAGTACGCGACATACAGTCGCTTGGATCGCGGTTACGACATGTGAAGAAAGCTCAACGCAAAGAAACTCGATGCTGTTGGTCGCGTTGCGCCGAAGAGGAAGAAGAAAGTTGAGGTGGGGGCGCGCCAGCTCCGCAAGCGGCAGAGGAGCTTGAAGGCGGTCTGCTTCCACCATGCAGAGTCAAAGGCCTCTGAACGCTGTCGTACAGTCTCTTCACAAACACCGAAATTTACCTACCAACGCCCGACTCAGCACGAGACAGACATCATGCCTTCCATGGCGAGCTCCATCCACCCCGACTTCCGCGACGATGTCACCTCAGCGGAAGCCCACGCAGTGGACCGGGAAACAGAACGTCTAATCCATCAACAACTAGCTGCGGACAACGCAAGTGGCCGTGAAAGATACATTCAGCTCGCCAAAGAGATGCTGCGTATTAGATTGCGCGCCTACAAGCCCGAGTCACCACCCGTTGCTGGTGCTTGGTGCCTGATCGGATCAGCACATCTCAAGGCCTCTCAGCTGCAGGAAGCAAAGGAAGCCACTGAGAAGAGTCTGGAAATATATGCCGCAGGAAACGATGCTGAAAAAGAAAACTCCGCGGCATTGGCGAGAGAACAGTTGGGTTTGATCTTTGAAGGCTTGGGCCAGATCTCCGATGCTAAGAAAATTCGACTGCAAGGTGCGAGTGACGGAACGATGGTGTGTTCGAGTCCACGGGTACGTTGATCTTGGTGAAGCATGCAGTGATTCTTCTAACAGGCTTATGTAGTGTCCCTATGCACATTACGCGTTCCGCGTGCAGAACGACGGCCGCCCTGGGCTCTTCAGGTTGGCTGAACTGAATGCGTGTGGTGCATGCAATTCGGCCTTCTACTGCGAACGGCAATGTCAACTGCAGGACTGGAAGAGACATAAAGTTCCTTGTAAGAGATACACGGCTGCTCAAGTAGACTAGAAGTACAACACTACCACGTAATCTTCGATCCATCGGATGACATCATCTTATGTTGTACTAACACGCAGTCACTGCTGGAATCGTTGTCAACTTATCTATACCCTCGTAGAAGTTTGGCAATACCGTAGTGTACGTAGCCATCGCCTCTCCGCTGAATCCTATCTTGCTCTCTAGGCCAAAATGAGCCTATGAGGACCTCACAATTTAGGGCACGGACGAAATTACGCTCAATTATCTCGCACTCACCTGATATGCTTAATCGAACTGGCGATAATTCGGCACTCACTTAATCGAAGGTCACCACCAAATTGAAGGTCACTTAACCGACCGTCACCGAGCCTCACAAGCTACTACCGAACCTTGATAACACTACATCATCCAACATTAGACCACTATTGATATCTTTCGCTCGCGCAACACCGATCTTCTCCAGCACAACAAATCCAGAGACAGCCATGGTAAGTAGCGATGTCTCTTTCTTGACCACCGAGGCTAATATAAAGAACAGGCCAAAACACGTCAGCCGCTGAGCTTCGACGGAAAATGGATGGCGATGGCAAAGTCCAACGACGACGAAGTCATCTCAGTAACCTATTCCGCGACTTACCGCAACGCGGCTGGTAATCGAGTGCATTTGAGTGACATCGACTTCAACACCATCAGCCCGGAGGTTGCCGAGCAAGGCGACCGAGACGGGCTAACAAGTACCAATCTCACCCGCACCGCATTCAAGGTTTGGGAGCTACTTGGCCTCGATATACCCTCACGGGATGAAGTCAAAGAACTCGACAGCAACAATGTATCACATGCGACGAAGACCGACCGTTCCGACCGCATGGACCTCAAGCGACGACGCAACGCCAACGCCAACGCCAACGAGACCCCCGATCTGCAGTCCAGTGATAAGAAGCAGCGCATGAACACCGCTTTCACCCATTTGACCGCCGAAAACAAAGCCGCAGCTCAATCCGCCTTTCGAGACATAAACACGCCAATGACGGAACAGCAAATCGCCGACTTCCAACAGATGGCGGCCGAAGAGCATAAGTACGGCGAAGCCCCTACTCTCGCAACCATCAATGACGCTCGGCAGTGGGCTGAGAATACCAACACGGATCCGCACGAGGCGCCCGCGTTCGACTATCACAGGCTAGCCGGAAGCCGGTTTACCGAGACACAGGAGGAGGATGGTGAGAAGGACGCTATGATCAAGAAGCAGGAACTTGAGATGGTTGAGAGCAAGGTTGACTTCGGTGAAGAGGTCGGTGGCGAGGGTATTGGACATGACAACGGTGAGGCGGACGATGAGGTTGGAGGGGAAGATGATGATGATGGGCTCGTGACTGTCAATTGGGGATTCGGGGAGCGTCGAGTGCCAAAGGTGGATGCGTATATCGAGGAGATAGGCCCTGAATTCTGGTTCCATGCTCTGGATGTCCTCGGCGATCGCCTTAAACAGGTACTGGAGCAATGAAGAAGCTAGTACGACCAAAAGCGGTTAGCGATACGAAGTGGGCAGGGAAGACATGGTAATTTTGGGAGCGTTAGATACGAAGCGATGGTCGCTCCAGATGGTATGGACTTTGCGCTCATCGCAGACACACGGATAATGCGTTCTTTGACACTCAGCTTCTTAGATACTGGCTGTAACATGAGCGTAACATATACTCTTATTGGCGGCATTACTGCTAGATTACACTACGTGAAATGTAATAGCTGCTGCTAGAGAACTTACTACGATATGCATAAACCTAGCCCGTCGACGACTGGTACGATGGTATGGTTGATCCAACAATGCTGCAGTTGATCGCGTCTTATGACACATCTGACTGCCCAGGCAGAAGCACATCATGGCCATTGTATGGACTTTCGAAGTCGCTATCGTGTATCACATCAAACCACGAGTGATTCGTGAGGTCGGTTCCTTCCAGCGATGTATTGCATGTTCCTCCATCGAATTGGGTAGCGGAAAGTGTTGAAGAAACAGACACGGGCCTGTTGCTATCAGGGACAAGCGCACCATGATCGCGACTTGATCCCATGCTGGACTGACGACCAACCGCTGTATCGGGCGAGTTGATTTCGTCAGGAATGGCTTTCATTAGCGCACTGGATGACACATCGAGTGACACTAGGGCCCTTTCGAGAAAGTCTGCCGATTTGCTCGAGAGGCGTATGGTCCATCTATACTGGTCTAGATGAGCCCGGTATCTGTCCGCTTCTTCCCTACTAGGAGATGTCACCCAAAGGAGCGAGATGAAAGAGCCGATGAGTATGAAGTTGTAGGTGGACGATGAATACCAAAAGGATTGGAGATGTTCGGGTCGGAGAGATTGCACAAAGCTCATGGCAGATGTCAGTCGGATCTGTGCTGCTTGCCGGCATATATTGTGGAGTTCGAGATCGTCTGCCGGGGATAATGAGCGGATGATGCGTCGGTGAAGTGTCATCTCGACCGCGTAGTACCCAAGGTGAAGATAGCCGACGCTGGAGAGCTTCCTCGCAGCAACGTCCTGCACTTTTAGCGCAGCTGGCATGTTGGCATACCACTGACGAAGTGTGAGTTGCAAAGGCTTCGCTGCATTGAGGAGTGATCGTATGCCTTCGTGCGCACGACTGGCGAAGTCGCGCTCTGCCTTTAGCGTATAGAAAGTCGATAGGATCTGCGCCAAGATCTGTGTAAGCTCTACCATATAACCGAACAAGATCCGTCCCTTCTCCACTTCAGTGCTCCCATCTTCGTCATCCTCATCAGCGGCGCTCTCCGGGAAGTCGTCGACAGTCAGAGGCTGTACATCCCAATCCATCGGCGTAATGTGCGAGGGGCGACCGTGCATCAGCGCACCCCATTTATCCTGCATGAATACAGCCCATGCCAAGCGTTTACGAAGGCCGCACTCCCAGGCTGGGATATGCCACGTCGTACAGTCAAGTTGAAGTCCCATATCCTGCGCTAGCCCGACTAGTTGACAGGTCAGCGCCCAGCTGTTGCCCTCTGGTCGCTGAAGAAGCAGCAGCCCTGCCTGAATAGTCGAAAGCTTAGGCCGGTGGATAATGTTGCTGAACGATCTCATCGTCAGCGACTCTAGATGCGACACGTCTGGCTTGGATTGCAGTGCTAGCTCGCTGGAATACGCCCACCAGTTGAGGGCTAGGAGATAAACTGCCGCTAATAGCGGCGGCGAGAACTCTCGATGAGTTCGCTCATACTTCTCAAGGAACACTTTCTTGTGTAGAATCGGGAAGCTAGGATGTACAATCCGAAAGAAGAGACGTATCAACGCAGCGCCATGTGGTGCGACGGCTATCTCGATAGCGTCAAGATCTGGAATGTCGCCTTGACTGTTGAGCGTACCGGCGTCCGGTGATGAGACGAACGTCGTTGCATGAGCGTCATCTACTTTTCGTAGTTTTGGATGGCCAGCCAAAACATCAGCAGCGCCAGGGGATTGAACTGGCTCAAGTGCCAATAAAAGACGTTCGTACTCCGAAGTTGAGCCGACAAGACAACTGTGCCTGTTGGTCTGCAGGCCCAGCGTCTTCTTCAGGAGCGAAGGGCCGTGTAGATTTGCGTAATCATCGATTGGCGGATCCTGTCGGATTTTGGCTGTAGTATCCTGAGGTGACGTAGACTGTGCAGTGTTACTTCCGTAATCGTTTGCAAGAGGCAGTTGACCACGGGTGGTTTCAGTAGGCTCAGACACCTCGTTGATAGCCACGGCACGCCGTTTACGTGGTAGCGGGTTCTCATTGAAAGTGCATTCTTGATCATGGAATTGACAAAGAACACAGGGTGGGCCGCTTTCTGATAATTCGCACCGTGACTTCCGTCGTCGACAAGGATCGCATGGACGTCGTGATTTGGGCTTCGTAGTTTGTATGGTGGCTACATGCGGGAAGAGGTAGTTTGGTGGCGAGTTCTCACCAGGCACGAAGTTCATGCTTGCATTTCAGCACGCGATATATGTCCGTCCTGGTAGCAGACGGATAAATCCAGTATGTTGTTGATGAAATCGCGATACCTGGAACGCGTACGCGTGATGATTTCGCGAGATGGCTGACGATGCTGCTTCTACATGAATGCAGAGCATCACACTGCCATTCCTGCCACGTGGGTGCTGAACATAGCTAGTAGTTCATTGATGTCGCTGATGACGTGGGTGCCATGCGCGTTGAGTTGGTCCACCGGCCGGGAGGTTGGGGGATAAAGAGCACACGAGAGGAAGCCGAGGCGGCCCAGCCTCTGGAAGCACAGACCAAGCGGAAATTAATCAGCGGCATCACTAACAGAACACGAGAGCTTCGCATCTCGTTCGCGACATCATCTGCAGAAAACACTAAAACCATTACTCGGCCAGGAATGAAGTTTTTAGCGCGATGTTGGTTAAGCCATATTAGCCATCTCCTTCTCCTTCGCCACAGAAGTTTCCTTATTCGATAGTTCCTCGCCCTCGAGAACCGGCGCGACCACCTCACTCTTTTGCGGCGGATACACAGCGCATTCTACCAACGATCCTGTCGCCGGCGAGATATATGTACATACAACGTAGTGGGTAAACAGCGAAAGGAAGAACCCAAAGATCCACGCAAACGTGTAGACTTTCCATGCGCCACCGATGTCCAAAGTATTGTCGATGCTCTTAGCAAAACCAGGGAGAAGGGGAGCAAAGCCTACAACAAAGGACACATATGCTCTCCAGTTCCAACCTCCATTGTACCAGTAGATGCCGCGATGCGTGTAAAGCTGATCCACATCCAGTTTGCCCTTCTTGACGAGGTAGTAGTCGCTGACCATCGTACCTGCGAGAGGGCCCATGAGGCACGAGTAGCCACTCAGAAACGAGAGCAGGCCCGATGCGTTCTTGATGATGTTCCATGGTGTGGATACAATGCAAAAGACGGAGATAATGATTGTAGCCCGGAAGATGTTGATGTACTTCGGCAGCATGCCCGCTACATCGTTCGCAAACGGGTAGGTATCCGCTGCAATCTGATTGCCAATTGTCGCGAGGAGAAAGCTAGCGGACACGAAGAACTTTGCAGCTCGCGAATCAAACTTGGCAATGACGGTTGGCATATACCATTCGAACTCGCCCCACAGGTACGAATGGGCATCGGTGACAAAGATCGGTGTGAGTGCGCCCAATGTTCCGATGATGGGGAGGGCGAGGAATTGATGGTAGCCGGCGAGCTGGTTCTTGGAGAACCTGCCGAAATCAGGCATGTTAACGGCCAAAGAGGAGAAAAGCCCGACGACAGCGTTGAGGCCGGTGAGTACTGAGTAGGTTGTGTTCATGTAGGATGAAGTAATTTCCACCTTTCCTTTGATGAGCGGACCGCCACTAGATCTTGAGTCAGCATCGTCTGTCGCTGTAGGCTAGGAAGAAATCACTCACCCCTTCGTCACTATGACGGCCCAAAGAAAGAGCGCGAAGAACGTTGGCGGCACGACGATACCCTTGATCCAGAAGAGCACGCGCAACTTTGAGATTGGCATGAGGGCGAGTGCAGTTTGCAGGAACCAGTACAAGAACAGGCATAGCAATCCAGCCGCTGTAAGACTATTAGTGACGCTCCGGACAATCAAGAAGGATGAGTCTTACAGTCTATCCCAGCGCTCTCCGGTAGATGATTCGGAAAGGTGATGAAGCTCGGCCAGATCGCCTCAAGGCAGCGTTGCAGGAAGTTGCTCGCCTGGACCGTGAGAATCGCAGCCCACATCATGGCGACGAAAGCTCGAATGCAGATGGCCGGGAACGAGCCATACATGCCGAAGACGCTTCGAACGATAACCGGGAAGGACACATTGTATGTGGCACCCATCTTGCCAGTGAGGGTTATGACAACGCTGCAAATGGCAAAACCGAAGAAGACGATCGGAATTGTCTCTCTGGCTGTAAAACCCAGAGCCATGACACTGCTCACAGTTGACGCCAAAGGAGGCGCAAGCATGTCGGAGCACCAGTACGCCCAGTAATCGAGACCACCCCAAGTACGGTGTTCTGGTGGCACCGGATCAAGATCTAATATTGACGCAACGGTTAGCTCAGTTCCCTTATACATCAATGTATTCAAAAGAAGTACCTTTGTTCGACCAGCGCGAACCATATTTGCCGCTTTCGAAGGGTACCCTCAGATGAAGATGAGGTGCAAGCCTCGCTTTGAGCACAGACATGTTTGAAGACAGTACGGTGAAGTCGAAACAGTCGAGTGTAAAAGAACTGCATCCAAACTTTATCAAGTTCCAGAGTCTTGGTCTTCGTGCCGTGATAGCTACGTACATCTCCGTATCAAGATCGCCTCTAGCTTGATAGCCATATCGGCTCCTAGCTCGGAGATAGTCGCTGATGACATGGCGGGGTGCATTCGGAGACGAACATGGTTCGGCATAACTCTTCAGACATGTACCGCTACAATCTTGATATGTCGACGGGGATGAAGGAGTGTTGGGCGCTGGGCATGATGGAGATTGCTCATCGAAGAGTCGAGCTAGATCCATTTAGTCCTAGCGCTACCCGATACCGATAAGACACCTCCAAATCCCGCCCGTAGGCCCGTAGGCCAGCTGCATACTCCGTTCGCGGCCCGTGTTGGAGTCCCCACGTTCATCCGATGGAGTCGATATCGAGCTTAGATATGGCGCGTCGTCGTTCTCTGACGAATTCATGTATTGGTTTGTTTTCCTACATGAGCGTGTCTGCCCATACACAACCCCCCAACTACCAGGCCTCTCATTCACCGCAATATCACGAAGATGGCAAACGCCTCTCCCAATGGCACGATGCTCTCTTTTGACGCGAAGCCTTACGCGTTCTCCTTCCCTCTCGAGCACACTGCGTTACTCATAATCGATATGCAACGCGACTTCCTTCTCACCAAAGGTTTCGGCGAAATCCAAGGCGGCAACTTAGAGGCCGTCCAAGCATCCATCGCCCCAACGAAGAAGCTATTGGAAGCGTGTCGGGGTGCCGGCATGACTGTCTTCCACACCCGCGAAGGCCACAAACCAGATCTCTCGGACTGCCCATCGTCAAAATTGATCAGACAAGAAGCTGCGCCTGGCAACACCCAGCACAAACTAGTAATCGGCGACAAGGGCGAACTTGGCCGCCTGCTCACAAGAGGAGAATACGGACACGACATCATCGATGAGCTGAAGCCCGTTCCTGGGGAGGTTGTCATTGACAAACCCGGCAAAGGCTCGTTCTGGAATACGACTATTCTGCATCAGCTCAAAGCGAGAGCTATTACACATCTGATCGTCTCTGGTGTCACTACGGAGTGCTGTTTTGCTACTACTATTCGGGAAGCGAATGATCGCGGTTTCGAATGTTGTGGTATCGAAGACGCTACCAGTGGATACAATGATGCTTGCTTCAAGAAGTCGACGCTGGATATGATACATTGGTCACAGGGTCTGTTCGGATACATCGGTAGCTTGCAGCCTTTGCTAGATGCCCTGTCACCATTGTCAAGTAAGGGGCCGGTCGCCAACTCGACGCCTCCTCAGACACCACCGACTTTTGATGGCGACCTCACGATATCTGCTTTACAGCGAGCGTATAAGAGGGGCTTGTCGCCCGTAACCGTTGTGGAGGCAATCTACGAAAAGATTGAAGCATACAAGAAGATCGACCCAGCAGTCTGGATACACTTACAACCACGGGAAGCAGCTCTGGACGCCGCAAGGAAGTTAGCATCGACTTACCCTGACCGAAAAGCACTGCCGCCCCTGTTCGGCGTCCCCTTCAGCGTCAAAGACAGTATCGACATTGCCGGTCTTCCCACGACAACCGCTTGCCCACCACTCGCGCACGTACCCTCAACCTCCGCTCCAGTGTACGACAAAGTCATCGCCGAAGGTGCCTTGTTCATAGGAAAAGCCAATCTAGACCAGCTCGCAACCGGCCTCGTAGGATGCCGCAGCCCTTACGGAATCCCACACTCAGTATACCACAAAGACTACATCAGCGGGGGATCAAGCAGCGGCAGCACAGTCTCCGTAGGAGCAAATCTCGTCTCATTCTCATTGGCAACCGACACAGCCGGCTCAGGCAGAGTACCCGCTGGCTTCAACGGCATCGTCGGCTACAAACCTACACGAGGCACCATTTCCTTCCGGGGCATCACACCAGCATGTTTATCGCTGGACTGCATCGCGCTCTCCACAAAAACCGTATCCGACGCGCGAACCCTCTGGCAGATGCTAGAAGGCCACGACCCTCTCGACCCCTATGCGAAACCCGAAATGGGCTTCGAACGCCACATCAACAGCATCGGCCCCCAATCACGCACGTTTAAATTCGGCATTCCACCGCCCGAAGCACTCGCTATCTGCTCGGCCCCAGCCCGTCGCATGTTCAACGAAACGGTATCGAGATTACAAGCCATCGGCGGCATCCTCACACCATTCGACTGGTCGCCCTTCCAAAAAGCCGGTCAACTACTCTACGACGGTTCATTCGTATCTGAACGCCTCGCCTCGCTTCCAGACGACTTCCTCGAGAAGAACCGCTCAGCACTCCACCCCGTAACCGCACAGCTCATGGACGCCGTCGTCGCGCGGAAGAGCTCAGCCGTAGACGCTTACCGCGACCTGCAGGCCCAAGCCCTATATACCCGTCAAGCGGAGAAGGTCTTCGCGTACTCTGCTGCTGGTGTGGATGTTATCGTTGTACCGACAACGCCCACGCACTGGCGCATAGACGAGGTGCTCGCTGATCCGATTAAGAAGAATAGTATTCTGGGTGAGTTTACGCACTGCGGGAATGTGTTGGATCTTTGTGGTGTGGCGGTGCCGGCGGGGACGTATCCGGTTAAGGAGTTGAGTGGGAAGGAGGGGGATGAGGGGGTGTTGCCGTTTAGTGTGACGTTTTTGGGGGGGTCGAGGTTGGATGCGGGGGTTTTGGAGATTGCGAGGCGGTTTGAGGAGGGAGGGATGGAGTGAGACAGCCATATAGGGAGTTGTCTTCGAGCAAGGCTCGAGCATATGGCGTGCAGCTATCGCATGCGATGGGTACACCTTGCTCGTCGTGCTCGGAGTAAGACAATGAGAAGATGTTCAGAATGTCTCACAACCCCGACAGCATTGTTTCCGGTCCTACGCCTACCTAGGAACTTGAGACATGACTTACAATGTATCACTCCCAGCAACGTCCTTGTCAATCCAATGTCTTAGACTTCCATTCACCAGATTGTATATTTCCTATCACACGGCTCATTAGGAAGCACAAAGCAACATCACCCGTTCAAGGTATCTTCCAAAAGCCCACAACCGCCCTCTAAAAGCCATCAATTCCACCACGTAGCCAACATCATGCCCTCAAACACCGACGCAGCCGACTCTCAACTCACTGAGCTCCCCAACTCTTCCATGCAGGCCAACGACGCAAACCAGCCTCATACCATTAGCCCAACCAACCAGCAAAGCAATGGGGTCCAGCACTCGCCTATCGAACCGGAACCTAAGTTTTTCAGCTTCCGCCCGCGCAGTTCAACTCTTCCGCAGCGCAGAGCCAATCGCTCCCATTCTGTCTCGCTACCTCCGCGCAGTCCCCGCCACCCATTCGTTCGCCTAGGCTACCTTTCTCTCGCTATCTCTACCAAAGTCGAAGCACTGGACCTACACAAATACAGCGACTACTTACAATACATACGCACTCATCCCACCCTCAATAAGAACGCAGACACTGGATCAGGCTCAGGAACGGACGCAGATGCAGACGCTGGAGGCCAAGGCAGCGGTGAACAAGGTGTGTAAGTTCCATGGGATGAAGTTGATGGAGGAGAAGATGAAGGAGAGATGTGGGCAGTGAAGGAGTCTGTGATGGATTGTTTCGTTGAGTACTTGTAGTCAGTCGTCATGGTTATCCAAGATTGTATCATAGATGAAATAAAAGTAGATGATACAAGTACTGCGAGCGCTCGTCGGATCCAGATGAGACAATACAGACGTACCATTATATATCACTTCTACATTCCACTTGTCTCTCGAAGTGCCCAAGAACAAATTTCAAGACTTCTAGAAGCATCAATCGTAACACGTCGTACCGGAGTCATTGTCAAACCAATGTCTTTGAATATGCGTTTGCTGGACAGTACAATAGCCCTCAAGGCGCTCAAGATGAAGCAGAAATTAGAACTAGTACTTAGCCTATGTTCTACATCCCCTCAGTGATGGACGACGTAGGCAGAACCACGTATCCATTTGGAGACTACATAGTCACTTTTTGTTACAAACCCGTAATGGTCATCTGCGATAGAAACCAACCCATCGTCATCCACGAAATCGATCCCAAAAGCAACCGACTCCCTGTCGAGAGCGCCAATCGCCTACATTATTGCCGGGTCCTCCGTGAGCTTCTTGCAACAACCCAGCTATCTCACCCTCATTCACCGGAAAGCACACGTTCCTCCTCTTCATCCCCATCATCTCCATCATCTTATTCTTCACCCCCTCTCACAACCTATTCCCGCTCCCCGTCTCTCTCCTCCATCTTCGAAGACAAAGACAAATACCAAAACACAGAGGACATTCCCGTCACCCCAAACCACATCGACACACTCGACGCCCTAGACCTAGCAACCCACCACACCCCCCTCCACCTCCGCACCCACGGCCGCAAAGGAAAGCTTAACGCAAAAAAGAACCAACGCAACGGCCCCAATCTCGACCAGATATGGGACGAGTCATATAACCAGTTCATCAACAGGAAGAAGCCAAAACTACCTAGATGCCTCTATGGCAGCAGGCGGAAACTAGACCAACGGGGTGATGATCGACTAAGCGGGTTGTGTTGGTTTCATAGGTTGAATGTGGGTAGGGGGAGAGAGGATTGTCGGCGGGAGAGGGAGAGGAGGATGGGGTGATGGGGCAAGGGAAGGGTGAGAGAGAGAGAGGAGTTGGATTGAGGGTGGTTAGCTGGCATGGGAGTGTGCGCCGACGTGGATTGAGGGGAGGAGACATGGCAGGCTGAAAGTCACCTGGGCAGCGTTGAGTTGAGCTCCGCCACCGCCCCTCCGCCTCCCCTCCGCCTCCCCCACCCACCCGGAAGGGCAAGCTCAATAAGAAGAAGAACAAACACCCAGGTAGCAATATCTACAAGAAGATGAAGGAAGCGAACCAGCCGATTACTAGAGCGGAAAAAGAGCCAGTGTGCAAGTATGGTAGTAGGCGTGTGCTTGATGGGCCTGGAGATGATCGGGAGGGGCGGGTGTGTTGGTTCCATAGGTGGGAGGTGGGTAGGAGGCGCGATCACTATCAGCGGTTGTTCCTGTAAGCGTGTTGGTATCACGTTTCCTTGCATGCGTATAGAAGCTAGAAGTCAATCGTAACAATCTCATAATTGTTTGAACAACAGAAAACAGCTATGCACAGTAGAAATCCAAAACCAACGCGGACCATGCCGCTATGCCCAAAACCCAAATTATTTGAATCAAAATCCAACAACACCATGCTTCGTATGTACTCATGCCTTCAACCATGCATCACTCTTTACAGAGACAGCGCAACAGCCGCAAACAACGCAACAACAAAACTAATCGTCGCACCGCTCTGCAGCTTACCACCCGCGCTATCCCCATGAATCCCCAGAATCTCCGCTTGCCTCGAGAAGGTCACGTTCTGGGGTATCGACTCGTTGAGACACTGCCCATTCACAATATCCAACCCCGCCAAATCATTCGGCTCACGGAAGAACATATAACTCCTGTTGTTCAATCCCTTAAACCCCTCGGTGTTGTACGGGAACCACATGTCGGAGTCGGTGGCAGACGTGTTGCGGAGGAAGATGCATTGAACCTGGTTGGGGTAGTCGTGGGCGAGCTCGGGGTAAGCCTTCATGACATCGCTGTTCGAAGTATCGGCAACGAGGACGAATTTGCGCGTCGGGAAAGTCTCAAAAACTTTGGTGAGGAGGAATTTGCGGATGGACAGCGTGGCGGAGATGTCTGAGAAGTTGAGGGGACGCGTGTCGAAAGAGCCGCCGGGGTAGGTTTTGTAGATGAAGTCCATGTACAGACGCGTCGCTTGCTCGGGGGTCGTGGTGAGGTAGTGGAAGTGTGTGTTGTTGGGGAGGGTGCGGGACCAGTTTGCGTAGATCTCGGGCATGTTCATCCAGGGGGTGAAGGGGCGGGCGAAGGAGTTTAGGAGACCTTCTTTGGGGTCGTAGATTTTGGTTACGCGCAGGATGTCGTCGATGTCGGAGATGAAGGTTATGCCCTCGGAGGGGACGAGGAAGGCGGTGGCGTTGCCGCTGTTGGTGCCGTTGGTGTAGACGTTTAGGCGCTGGACGTTGTTGGTTTCGTTGCCGGGGATGAGGCCGTTGGATTGGATGGGCACGAAGACGTCGAAGTCGCCGAGTTCGGTCGTCTCGTAGGGGAGCGTGAGGTTCTGGACGCCGCCGGGGGCTTGGATGGAGTTGCCGCCGCCGGGCTCGCCGTCGCCGCCCTGCATAGGCGCGGGCTCGAGCGACATGGAGACATTGACGTCGCCTTGCTGGACGATGAAAATGGAGCGCGTCAGGTTGCGTGCCTGCTCCTTCTGGTTGTCAGGCAGCTCGGCGACGCTGGTGTCGATGAGGAAGACGTTGGCCAGGTCGTCGACCTTGTCCTGGCTGATATCCGGGAACTTGTACACATTGCCGTGGAAGCGCACGTTCCAGCCCTGGTCGGTCCAGTTGGCATAGGGCGGGATGTTGAGGACTTCGGTGGGCTTCGCAGCCAAATCGTCGTCGCCAATGCCGAGGCTGGACAGGACTTCTTTGCCGGTGGGGAGGCCTTCGAACCAGCCGGGGATGCCTAGAGAATAAGAGTCAGCACAAGCCTTCCTAGTGCGAAGCTTGCCATGCAGGCGTTTGCTTACCCTCTGTGAAGAAGCTGGGCAGGTCAGTTCCCAGCACGCTGCCTATCGAGGCTGCGTAGTTATCCACGCCGCTCTTGATGTCGTCGATGATGTTCCTCTTCTCCACGTAGCTGTGCCGCCCTACGAACCGGATCGCCGCGGGAGTCACAACAGGCGCGCGCACCTCGACCTTGGCGGGGACAGCTGTCGGCTCTGGCAGCGCGAATGCATTGGCGAGGCCGAGTGTCGCGCTCAGCAGGAGAGCCCGCTGGGATGCGCGTTGGTGCATCATCGTGGTGGTGTTGTTGTGGCAGGGGCTGAGTCCAAGGGGCGCTCGCGTGGTCGTCGCGTAGAGGGAAATTAGAGTCGAAGCGACAGACTAAAGGGAATACAAAGAAATGCAGAGGACTGAAGAGGAGAGAAGATGCGGACGTGCCGGGAAAGATGGCGAGCTGGCAATAGTGGAAACACGCTTGCCGCGTTTCGCACGGGCTAGACAGCAGGTTTGCGGTCAAATTGGTGGTGTTGGTTGCTGCAGGTACAGCCAGCATGATGTCATTCTGCATTGTGGCTGGGGCCGAGCCACAATGCGTCGATCGCCTCCCGTGACCCACCCTTACCAAACTCTCCACACCGCAACACTCCTTCGGAACTCGGCAGTCGCAGGTTGATGGCGAGACATATCTGGTACTAATGAAGGTTTTGATTGTTTTACATGCCGTTCGCAGAGACTACTCCCATGGTGCGAACGAAGGGTGATATGGAGTACTTGGAAGTAGCAGAGCTAATCCAGTGTGCTTCGTTCGACTCCCCAACGACGACCCAAGGCCCCAATAGCGGCATATCCCTCAACGCATCCCCCATGTGATGGTACCCCTTCCTCATGGGCCAACACATCTTTGAGTCGCCCACCAGCGTGTCCATCGGCCACCCACCGCGTCGCCGACAAGTGTCCCACGCTTCCCTTAGCACGTCGTGCACCTTGTCGTTCGGAGCAATGTCCTTGATAATATGGAAAAGCGACCTCATGCACAATATAACCTGTTCTTGATCGCAATACCCCAGAGAGTTTGTATCCCAGTGTCCGGGGAGCGTGCTCGTCCAGCGTGTGCCAGATGGATGTCGCGTTTCTTCGCCGTACCACCCTATCATGTCTAGAGTGAAGTGCGGGAGTGTACTTTGGTAGGAGGTTAAGGGGGGTGCAACGCGGAGGGGGGCGACGGCGAGGGTTATGGTTGAGCAGATGGCTCTCTCGTCTTGTTGGGATATATGAGTCTTGGTGTTGTGGAGGAAGTGTCTATGCACCTTGCGTACAAGACTTGACTGCGCGAGCAGGTCTGCGCGCTCAGAGTCGCAGAGTATTGTGTTTGTGTTGTCTGGTATGCGGATGTTGTACAGGGCTGCGTTTAGCGAGTCGAAGTCCGCATTGAAGGTTATTGCAACGATTTCGATGAGCCACCGACGGACCTGTTCGGTCTTGCATTCTGGTGGTTGAGCTTGCGATGGAGCGTGGTACTTGGCGTCGCTTTCCCTGGCGGTATCATTTGTATACTCAGGTGGCGGGCCTGAGGGTATGTCTAGGTATTCTCCTTGCGGTATGTCTGATGGCGGAAGATAGGATATCTGGAGGCGACCTAGACGGCCTAGATTGAACGTTGGCATGCTGTATCTCGATGTGACAGAGAGAGCTTTGGGGAGATGAAGAGAGTCCACGGGTAGGACAAAGATTTTGTACGTCTTGAGTAGGCGCGCTAGTGGAACCAGGGTTCGCAGTAAGTAGCCTGAGAGGGTCTACCAAGATAAGGTGAACGCGCGTTCTCGATCTTGGAAACACCTCACACAAGAAAAAACCTAAACAGGTCTGCGGACTACATCAAGACAAAATCCTACAAAGTAAGTAACCTAACGTTAACGTAGGCTCTTGGGTGTTTAGTTTTTTCCTAGGTTAGCGTGGAAAGGTAATCCTTTTGATGTCACTGGCTGAAGACTGTGGTTGAATGCTTTTTAATGCTACGAGCTATCTACACTATCTAATATTTACATACATGACTTGCAGAGAAGGAACTGCTGTTGTACCAGAGCCTTTGGAGAGACGTTCCGGTTGTTGTTGCGCTGGCCAGAGGAAGTGCAAGAATCTCGTAGCGCCTGCAAGTTGAACAGCGTACAGAAGCGCGACTGGCAAGTGTATCTTTCGACCAAGGTGTAACGGAGATCGATTGTAGACTTGATCTGAGTTGCGTATGGACCCTTGCAAGAGGTGAAGAGCGTGGTGGCAATGGCGGTTGAGAAAGTGTGGTAGCGAAGAGCATTTACCGGCCGTGAAGCGGCATCATATTGGACAGCTTCTCAACCGATGTGCTTCCGCTGTTGACTCGGCCTTGATGGACGATCAGGGTATGCGGTGCCATTGCGCGATTGCAGTATGGGTTCGACGTTTGGAAAAGAGTTGGTTGTAGTTGCCACGAATAACGATAAGACATCGGAGTGCACTGCTGAGTACGGTAGATGATGACGAAGATCGCGCGTCGCCAAGTTGGTGTCTTGGTTGAGACTTGAAGGTGAAAGCCGTTGTTGGAAGTTAGACCGACCTTGGGTTGGCAAAGAACGATGGAATACGTTCACATCAAACCCGATCCCTGGAGGCGACATAGCCTTGGAGGTTGAGGTTTTCCAGGTTGATTGTGCTCTCATGAGACGACATGGTGGATGAGAAGAGCCAAGACAGACGGTTCAGCTCCGGTTAAAGCATACGACGACTTTGTAGACGGGGTTGCGAATAGCGGGACGATACTGTCTTCGGTAATCCAGAAAGCGTGAAGTATGTGCTGAGGCAATCCGCGCGCTTGGAAAACGACGTCGTGCATAAGCGACGCCGAGATGGATGGCTCAACTCCAGTTGCAGCATACAACGGCTTCGGAGATGGAGTTGCGGTCAGCGAAGAGTGGGTCAGTACCGAGAACAGTTGAGGACGACATGGATAGTCAGGACGAGGTTCTTTCGACAATGCTGAGGCGTGAAGACGACATGGATAGTGAGGATGAGGGTCTTTCGGCAATGTTGAGGCTTGAAGACGACATGCGAAGCGCAGGAAGCCAAGACGGGTGGTTCAGCCGCAGTTGAGGCATACAACGACGTCGTAGCTGGAGTTGCGGAAAGTGAGGTCCGGATGTCTTCGTGAAACCGGGAGTGAGTTGTGAGATGAGATGAGCAGCGCGGTTGATAATGTCTTTGATCGCAGCTGGTTGAGATGGTGAGTAAAAATACCTCCGTTCGCACCACTCCCTCTCATCACTGGGAGTGGCCCCAGGCCTAACCGCGGGGAGGTGGAGGACAAGGCCCTTAAAATATTGCCTGGTAAAAGATGTTGATAGGTATACATGATGGGAGGAAAACATGCTAGAAAGAAAGGACAAAGGAAAAACAAAGGAAAACGTGTAAATATGATGAAAGGGAAAAGATGTTAGAGAAAAGGAAAAACAAAGGAAAGACAAAAGAAAAACAAAGGAAATCATCTAGCCCAAAGGCGTGGCTGGCGCCGGATACGAGCGACCTCGTCGAGGTGGGCAGCCTCCTCTTGCAGCCGGGTCTCCCTCTCCCACCCCAGAGACTCCTCCGTCTGCGTCATGCGCCGCAGCACCGCCTCATCTATACGGTCGCCGATCCGGCGCTCCATCTCCCCCAACTCGTATCGCCAATCCTCTTGGCGCCGGGGGGTCCAGGGCCAGTGCCAGCCCTGCCAAAAGAAGGCCCAGTTGGCCACGAGGCCAAGTATGGCCCAAAGGGCGTCAGCCAAAAGGCTGGGTGCGGTTCCAGACCAATCGACCATTGTTTGTTGGAATTCGCTACGACAGAATTTAAGAATTAGCATTTGGAAGCAGAATTAACATAATAATGCTGCGTATGTTGCTGCATAGGGTAAAAGGGTTGAAAGAGAAAGCGTAGACATACCTTGATTCCACTCGTTGGAGCTGAAGAAGAGAAGTCAGAACACCACAGGCAGACATTGCTACATTGCATCTCCCGGGCTGGCAGTCACTCCTGCGCGGCTGCTACATGGCTTGTCGGTGCTTTCTAAGTAGAGTCGTAGTGCGACTTCCCGTCTACATTAAAAGGCAGCATGCTCCAGAACACTTACCTCATGGTAGGGCACCTAGGGTCCTTGCACCTATGTCGAGTACGTAGTTTGGAAAGTTTATGACTTTACCAGGTAGAATACGGCCAGTCGAACGGGTATCGTATCCGGTGATGCCGCCGTTTGCGTTATCCTTGTTTGCCACCAAGATAGTCAGAAATGCGTTGGCATAGATCAAATGCATTCGGTTCAGATAGAAAGAGATATTAGGATCGTTCTGAATGAGGCAGAGACAGTCCACCCATAGGTAGCGAATGTCCAAGTCTACAGTCAGACGCATAGCATCTCTAATAGTCTGCGGAACAGTAACGACATGAGATCCGCATGACAGGCTTCGAGGTTTTCGAAGCTCCTCCATGTTTTCAGAGGTTAAGTTGGTGGACTTGACGTTACCCCAAACATAACTTAGAGCTATGTAGCGCACATTTGAGACAGATTTGAGAGTGATACATTCCTCGACCACATCGATGAGGTAGAGCGGCATGTACAATTCGTTGGCGGGATTAGGCCGACAGCCTTCGTGCTCATGCTCGCATGTATGCAGCCATGATTTGATGAGTGTCGTGGGGAGATTTTCCCCCCTCTCTGTATGAGTGATTGAATCGTTTCGAAGCCGCGTAGGATAATTCGAGCGCCGTAGCAGGTAACTCTCGTAATATGGGTCGGTCGTTAACATGTTTACGCATGCTGGGCCAGTCCCAGAGAAGGCCCCAAAAATATTAAGCTCAAAGTACCGCGCATTGGGGTTCACTTCGTCGAGTATATTGAGGAAGTCTCTGCATGATGGGCAGGTCGTGTCAGACTTGATGTCGGCTGTATTAGCCTTTAAGGGGAGGACCAGGGAGTCTTGACGATGGTCTATTGACGCTGTGTTCGGAATGTCGTTGAAGGATCGATCCACACGTAAGCACTCTTCGCAATACAACGCGTCTGCATCCGGTGACCCTCGAGAATTCGATGGCGCAACTTCGACGTTCTCCTCCATACCCACGATGATCGGTACTTTGCAGGATAGAACTAAATGTGTTGCTGTGGTTCAGTTCATGGTGGTATCCGTAGAGCAAAGTTGGTTTGTGACCGGGAAGGCTGCAAAGGGAGTGGTGTGCTACATGCCCCGCGATCGTTGCTGCCTACGCCAAGGGAGGCGCATCTCAGCAGGCAGGTACCTTCGGCCTATCGTCCATGCGAACGCACGATGCCGCACTGCAGCAGAATCTGATTTCGCTAATAAGCAACGGGATATACTGCTATATGAGAGAGCCGTTCATCGATGCGCAGCTCCAACACCAGTGAACGCATGCCCCTACTGTCTGGGAGCATTCTAGTCATACACCTCGCACATCGCAGATTGAGCAGTCATTATCTGAAGGGGAGGCAAAACTCACATAGCAGACCAGCTCACCACTTCAGCTCCATTTTTACTCGCGTAACCCACCAAACTGCCTCAAGTATGCCTCCAGCTCCAGAACGTTCCGCCAACCTCATCCCACAGCACACCACATCACACCACCACACCACCAAATCACGCCTAGACCCCCAGCCTCCCCAAACCAGCCAACTAAGCACAACAGCCCCGCATCTAGACCTCACCTTCAACAGCACCCTCCCAAAAATGAGGGGTAAACCACCCAAGTAAAGCATTCGCAAGCCTGCAGCAGCACCGCCGATCCCATACCGCATGCATACGGACCGATAACACACCTGCACGCTATCTAAAGCGAGATCGAACCGCCATCCATTCGACGCCCGATTCTGTTGGGAAGTATGAACGGCCTTGAACCACCGTTTGGGTGTTTATAGAGCGACGACATGCGTTTTGGTGGATGCGTCGCGTGCGGTGTTGCTTATTGCGTTTGTGGGGGAAAGCGGTGGGTGACGTCATGAGCACGTTGTTTGGTGGAAGGAGCAACGTGGGAACGTGGTTGAGGTGTGGCATCCACGTTGTCGCGAACGTTATCGGTATCGTTATCTAGACATCATCCGAAGGATCGCGAAGCGGAAGCAAAGGATACCCCGCTTTACAACGTTAGAAAGACGTGGTTTGAAGTCATCAAGATTATTAAACAGAGCGATCGCGCGTCAGCGTTGCGGTGCGGAGAGAGAACCCACGAAAAAGCACGCTGCACGAAAGAACCATGGGGATGCAGGGACTGCGCGCCAGTACGCCGCCAAATGTTCCAATTGGACGGGAAGGGCTCTACCGGCCAAACGCCCCGGTACGCTTACGAAGGTTTATTTCGGGATGATAAAACAAAGTGCACAAGAAGCATTGCGTGAACGGCAGATATGACGTCGTGAAAAGCACGCGACACGGGACGGGATGAACAACAGCAAATAACAGTGATGATGCGTGATAAAGTGATCATGATTTCATAAAACTAACTATACAGAGATCTTGTCGGGAACCTAGCAGTTCCATCGACTTGACGCATGTATTGCATCAAAGGGGGGGTATCTGTTTTTCTGATTTGAGCACTTCATTTCAGAACCGTTGCGCCAATTGCCTGTCCAAAAAAGCAAACGCCGCTC